TAAATTGAAAAGCTTACAAATGTCATTAAACCTTCAATTCATATGATCATGTATTTAAAAAAAAAATTTCACATTATTTTGACAGATGGTTTACAATGATTAAAAGCTTCATTAATAAATCATTAACAAGCATTATATAATGCTTAACTGATCATTAGTTAATATTTACAAATGTCATTAAACTTTCAATGCATTTTATAAATCTACAAAAGATTTTACCAGAAATTACACAATGAACAAAGTTTGAACAAACATTTGTACTGTTGAATGCTTTCAAGTGTCATTAAACTTCAGTTCACATATTAACTAATGCTCATTAGTTAATGACCTTATTTGCCTAGTATAAAATTTTCTCAGTCTTCTGACAAAAGACTTTCACCCCTAGACAGTCGTTCTGCTCTATTTTTGTGTAGAATTTTGTCGAAAACATTGAGCAAATTGGAACGTGTGAAAACAGGTGAAATGTGTTTTTAGTTTTGAGAAATGTGTCATTGTTTCGAGAACTGAATGAATGGTTGGTGAAAGGGAATCAGTTATAGTATGTTAAACAAGAAAAACTATAATTTAATGTACTATCTAATACAAGTCTAACAAGTTTATATACAATAAGAAATGCAAACTTCACAGAAGGGCCACTTAGTGGTGCAGTTGATCAAGGAATGATGTTACCATGCCATTGGTCCTTACAAAGCTGGTAGTCATTTTGCAAGAAACAAATATTTTTTCAGTGACCTTTTATTTTGAGGAAAACAAATTTGTGAAAATTCTGACTTTATTTGGGGCCCTTTCTTCAGCATGACAGGAACAAGACAACGTATCTCATTAGTGTTGACTGCATTCTGTAAACCCAACCTTCCACTTTGTTACTAAAGTTATTTTGAGAAATAAATAATCAAACAATATTTCCCATTTAAAAAAAAAATAATAAAATAAAAAATAAAATATATATATATATATAATCTTATGAATTTTGTCTATTTAATTTTGATCTTTATGTATTACCAATTGCTGTACAATAATCGAATCAAATCTAGTCATTATATTTTATTATTTAGACGTATCAAATAAAACAGCTCATATGATATTTAGTATCACATTTATGTTTAGTTTTGACATTTATGTAAAGGTGTGCGGCAGCCTTTTTTATATTAATTTTTTTATTTATGTTTAACAACATGAACTGCATATATAGTATTTTTAAAAAGAGGCCCCATTTCAAACATATTAATTGCTTGTGCCAAGACTCTGTTAGCACATGACCTTTGAGTTTAACATGTCATTGTTTACCAAGTCCACACTGTAAGATCCAGTAAATGACATCTGACTTTTAAGGTTAAAAACAACAACAGTTTTCATTGTGAGATAAAGAGGATCAGCAGGTCATCTAGGAGACAACAACAATTTAAGCAAAGACAAATAGGTGTCAAACTCTTCTTCTGTCTTCTGTCTTCTGTCTTTTGTTTATCAGTTAAACAGATTGCTCAATTCTAATGAACACATTTCGCAATGCAATGGCTTGCAATGCTTGTATTATTGCAATGTTTAGAGACTTGAAAGTGTTGTGAATCTTCTTTCATCTCATTTCTAATGAAACAAATTCATTCATCACATAATGTTCTTCTTGAATCAATATATAAAATTCATGAACCAGTTAAAAGCAACAGGATTAAGCAGTAAATATGGCAGTTATTTTGGAATCTGCCCTTTGCTTCCTGTTCATACGTTACAGACATTTGACTCAAGAAGTTTGACTTCTCTAAGGTAACTTTTTGGTGTGTCCAAATAACAAATATGAATTGCTGCATCAGAAAATGATTTTTTTTTTTTTTACATTTATATTGCTTGTGCTCAGAGAGGTCTGGTGTAAGAAAGACATAATTTTGACATGGGTAAATGATTAACTTGTTGATCCCCAAGCAGGCAAGAGTTTTAGAGACCGACCAAAAAAAAAAGTATTTGTGAACTGAGCTCAAAATGAGAGTACCTGTAAAACTCCTCGGCTTCGGCTTTTGGTTCTTTTTCTTAAATTGTGCCCGATGTCAAGGCAAGTGATTTTGTTGTTGTTGCCATTTATTTGAATGTCTTTTTCATTTAGATTTTACTGACTTCAAAATAAATATTATATTATATGCAGTTCCTAAAACATTTAACTGTACATTTATGTAGCTTTAGAGCGTGTTGACTAGTTGTGCATGTACTTCAGAATTTAACAGTTATGTCTTTGTGTAACATTTGTTTGTGCTTCTCAGAATGTCTTCGAGAGAACATTAAATATGAAAACACAGAACCAGTTGAGAAAGCTTCGTACGCTGATGGTGAAACAGTGAGAGTGAACTGCATAACAGGTTATACTGGCTTGTATAAATTAAACTGTGAAAAAGGAGAGTGGAAAAACGCCATTGAGCGACCATGTGCAAGTAAGAGAATTGTCAATACGATGGCCACATAGTTATTAAATCAATGTTACCATGTAAAGTAAAACTTGTTTGATTTCTGCAGAGAGAAAATGTAGTAATCCAGGCGACACACCAAATGGTGATTTTAAACTTAAAGAGGGGACGGAGTTTGTTTTTGGAGTAACAGTGGTGTATACATGCAAAAAAGGGTAAATGTGCTTTATGCTTTTTTATCGCATGAAATGTATACTATCCTCTTGAGTTTGATAATCCTTGTACTTGTAAAAACATTGTGTTCACAGGTATGAAATGGCAAGCAGAATCAATCAGCGTACCTGCAGAGCTCAAGGATGGGACAATGCCGTCCCTGTCTGTGAGGGTACGATTTCTTGAAAGTCACTGTTTTTCCTTTTTTAATTTTTTTTTTCTAGTTTAATATCTCTCCATCATAGAATAATGAGTTATAAAGAGAATTATAACTAAAACGATTTATTGCTTTTTTTATTTTTTTATTTTATTGAGTGATTGTTTTGTTGGTTTCTTTACTTTATTTATTTTCATATTCAGTGGTGAAATGTCCAGCCATTCGCACAGATGGGGAGGTGACTGCATTGGGTAACACAGAGGAGGGACGTTATGGTGATGTTATTCAATTTGATTGTGTATCTTCTGACAAAATGATAGACGGAAGTAGTGACATTCACTGCAAAGAGACGGGAACATGGAGTGATGCTGTTCCAAAGTGCAAAGGTTCATTTACATTTTTCTGTATATTTTTTATTTATATGTATCTTCACCCAAATATCACAGATATCTCCACATTAATTATTCTTGTTTCTCTTACTTTTCATACAGAGATAACATGCGCAGCACCTGTCATACAAAATGGATATGTTGTTGAGCCACGGCCAGAATACCAGAAAGATGCCACATTAAAATACAAATGCAATAAAGGATTCAAACCCAGAGAGGGAATCCCCAAATGTGCTAAATTTGGCTGGACTCTGAACCCAGAATGTGATGGTAATTCACCACTGTGTTACATAATAAACAATTCATATGGGAAATAATACTCAAATACTTTCATAATGCAAAAAACATGGTAGGGTCACACAAACTGAAACATTCTAAAAATAGACAGCCATTAACTTTACGTTAAAATTTGAAAATTCAAAAACAAAAAATCAGTTGAATATGGCTAAATGTGACTACCGGTATACATTTAAAAATAGTTTGATATTAGTTTGACACTTATTTTAACTTCAAGGTGGAGCTTGATGAATGCAGTCCCATATGTTGTTTTTTAGATTTTAATGTTTGTTTGTTTTTACTTACTACTTACTTTTTTCATAACTACTTACTACATTGATTATAAATTCAAATCATTATTTCAAAATACTGAGGATGTTTTATTTGTCTTGTCGAGAAGTTTTTTTTTCTTTTCTTTTAATTTGAGCATATATACTATGTGTGTGTGTGTGTGTGTATATATATATATATATATATATATATATATATATATATATATATACATATT